ATGAGCAGCATTTTAGTCTGTGAGCCAACAAAAGCCTTGGCTGGCTGCTGTGGCGCTTGCGTTGGAGGTTTTACAAATCCTTAAGAGAATAGGATTTTCAACACATTTGCTTGTGCGCTCGCGTTCGTTGCATAGTTTTAGGCGTTGCATGCAACGCGCTAAGCCGGGCATTTGCCAAGGCGGCAACGGCAACAGCCACAGCAACAGCCACAGCCACATCCACAGCAACAGCAACAGCAACATCAACAGCCGACTACATCTACAGCGTCATCAGAAATGCATGGCGTACAAAAGCATATTATTTAGCTTACTCTTCGCCTGTCTCTTATCATTATTATCTGGGAGCTTCCGTTCAATAGCCGGCATCAGCACCGACACCGGCACCGGCAGCGGCATCAGCACCAACACCAGTTCCAGTCCCGTGCACTGAATTTATGCAAATGCTGCATTTTGCTTTTCAATTTCGTTCGCTTTACATTGCCTCGCCCCACCTTTCGCTTCTCCAATCCGGCAACAAGTTTTACTCTCTGCTCGGCAACTTCTTGCCGTGTTTTCCCAGCGCATTAAGCTTGACTACAGTTGTGAGGATTTGTGAGAAATATGGGTGCTATTCTTTGCATAAAGTGCCGCGTCTCACTCTCATCATTTTTGCATCTCTTCATCCTTTTATTTACTTTCACTTCCATCATTCACTTCACTTCTCATGCCAATGCTGCACAATTCAGTTTACAATTCCTGGGTTACATTTGCGTCTTGTTGATTTTTTCCTTTTTCTTTTCTGCTTTGCTACTACAGCAACTGTTGCTGTTGCTGCTGCTGCTGCTGCTGGTGGTTAAGTGTCACAAATATAAACGATTTTAGCTTTTAAATGCGCCTAGCTCTGGGGCTTCGATTGAAGCTGGACGGCGAAGCCCTTGAGTTCTTTTGTTAGTGTTGTGCATAAGCTGGATATATGGTATTGACTATGCAAATCTGCGGCTTATACCTTTTTCTGCTCTGGGCAGCTTCTGCTCGTCCGTCCACAGGTGCGAGCTGCTTGATAGTTACCCATATTTGATTGTGCTGGGAAATTAAAATAGTTGCTTTAAGTTATTTTAAAGAACTTTTAATATTATATAAATTATTTTTGTTTACTTTTGTTTTGCTAAGTAGAATAAAATGAAATTTGGTTATTTATAATTTGACTTTCAGATTTTCCAATTTATTTTTGCACTTGCTTCAATACATCAGTGAATTATATCTTTAGAATTTTTATTTGTGATAAAATTAAACTGGAATTAAGTCTATCATTTTATTGAAATTTGCAATTGCCTGAAATTTCTTATTTATTTTTATTTAAATATTCAATTCGACTTTATGATTGCCAATGTTTGCGATATTTTAAGAGATTTTCTTTTTGTCACACAATATTTAAAGCTTTTTATTCACAATATTTATTATTAAATTCAGTTAAGTTCGGCGTGGTTACTTAGTCAGCTAGCCGTAGCTGCGGCTCACGCCCCGCTATTGCCCCGGCTGTCCACCTGTTCATTAACCTGTGCGGCATTGTGCATAATATCAGTGCCAGTGGCGCAGCTATGCCGACGCCCTCATGCCGCTTTCCTCACTGCCTTCCATTGCATTGCCAATTTACGTGTGCAAAAATGTTCGCTTCATTTGGTGCGCGGCTGGCACAGCTGTTGTTAATGTTGTTGGGCTATTGTTGTTAATGTTGGCATTGCCCCGCAGCAATGCGGTGCTCATAGTCGACAGTGCGGAAAATGCAACGGCAAATGCCATGAACTTGTTGCAATGACAACAGCGTGACAGGCCGCTACTTAGCTTTAAGCTATATGCTGCATGGTGCATGGTGCATAGTGCATGCTGAATGCAGCATGATGCGTGCAAGTTAACAGCACATTAATCATGGTATGGATCGCATTTGTGTAGCGATGGGTTCGGTGTGGAGAATATCCAACAGCCAACTGTAGCACGAGCCGAGTTCGTTTCGCTCTCATTGCCTGGCATTTATTATGCTGCTTAAATGCCAAACGTAGCAGCCACATAAAGCTGGACAAATTAACGCGTGGGTGGCCCGCCTGACCCGGCCCGGGTCGTGCATCAATGTCATTGCCGTTGTTGTTGTTCGTTATTTGGACTTGGAGTCGTTGTTGAACAGCTGAACAGCAAATGCACTTGCAACAATCGTACTCATATGGCCGCCACATGTGTGCCATTTTTGTTTTCGGTGCTGCTGCACTGGCTCTTCGTTGATGTTGCTGTTGCTGTTGCTGTGTCGCGTGTCACCATTAAAGAGCTAGCGCACAGACACACACGAGCAACAATGTAGGAAAGTCAAGCAACGTCAATTTCCGTTTGTCGTCGTCATTAAAATGCAAGCGGTCATGCCTGGCCGCACTTTGCCACTCTCAACTTTTGATATGACGATGATGATAAGGAGGATGATGATGATGATGATGATGATGATGATGATGATGATGATGATGATGATGATGATGATGTGAATAAAGTTGCTGCCACTTTTGGTTGCTTAAGTCGCAGAATTCTATTAATTAGTTGTGGCGCACAACACATGTAAGCGACACTCTGCTAGCACTTAAAACAATTTACGCTCACAATTTGAAATGTCTGCATAAACAAAATGACAGCCAGCTGACAGAAAGTCAGCTAGAGAGACAGACAGACAGACACTCAGGCAGACAGGCAAAATTGTGTGAGTAACTTAAGTGCAAAGAGAGGCAGTTGTGAAATCGATACGTTTTGATGAGTTGCTATTTGTAGTTCTGTCAAAATAGATTCAGAGACCACCTTGGCGCTGCGCTAATGCGATTAAAAATGTTGTTTTTTTTTTTGGTAAATCCAATATACATTTACTCACATGTTGAATAACCGAAAACTGAAACCGCAATTAAGAGCGGAAATTGAAATGTTGTAAGTGCAGGCAAGCAATGCTGCTGCTGGTTCTTATTTAATGGCTCGTGGCAAAGTCGCTGCAGTTGCTTGGTGTTGTTGTTAGGAAGAGCAATGCAAAGTTTTAACATTTGCCACTTTGTCATTCAATTTTAATTTCAAGATTCACAGTGCGCTGCGTCTTGTTGCGTTGCGATTTTTACTTTGTAGTTGGACTCAAAAGCACTGCTGCTCGTATTCTGACAAAGTCGAAAAGTTTTTTTTATTGGTGGGCAACGTAAGGGATTGGGGTCTGTTGCTGCAGTTATGATTTACTTGCCAAACGCTGTCCCAAAACGAAAACGAAACGCAGCGCAACGAAATGAAGCCATCAAAAACGTTGACGTCGTTACGCAAAAGCGGAAATGACAATGATGATGACGATGACGACCATGATGATGATACTACAGCTGCTTTTGCCTTTACTGTTGCTGCTGCTGCTGCTGCTGCAGATGATGATGATGATGATGGGAATGATGATGCCAAATAAAATGGTGAGCAATGGTGCAGGCGAAGGATATGCACGCAATGGGAATGTGGCTGTGATTTGTGCTGCTGTGCAGGACGTGGGGCTGCAACTGATGTAGCTGTGGGCGTTGCTGCTGCTGCTGTTGTTGCTGCTTCTGCTGCTGCTGCTATTAAAACGCGTGAAATTGAAAAGGCGAAAAATTGCAAAGCCAACAGAATTGGCAAACTGTTGGACAAGTCGTATTCATTGTGTCAGTCACAAGGGAAAGAGAAAGTGTGCAACGAATCTAGCTTGGCCAACAGCAAGGGGCAGCAGCAGCAACAGGAAACAGTTTATGTAGGACATAGTGCTAAAAGCTGTCAACTATTTGATGACCATGTTGACCGCTTTGCTGGCCAATGGCTATCGTAAAAGTCGATCCTTATATATCCTCCATATAATAGGCTATATAGGCTATCAAAAGCATTTCTATTTATTCTTTACTTTATTATCTGCTATTGAGAACGATAGAATGAAGCGGAAGGGAATGAATTCAATAGCTTTGCGTATTGCTTTAAGGCGTACCGAGTTATTTATATCAGCTTCATTTTATGAATTCTAGAAAATATAATAAAACATAAAATTAAAAGAAAACAAAGCGAAAAATGAAGTTCTCTTTTTATTTTTCCTTAAAGGTTTGGAGTGTAGATAATTTGGAACCTTTTAAGACTTTTTAACATAGACTTGGAGTATATTAATTTAATCTAATTGTAAAGCACAGCCTAAATTATCTTTAGAGCTAATGCTAATTGCTATAATTGTGTGTAGAAGTCTGAGCCAAATGCAGGATAGAAAACAATAATATTTGAAATTCGTTTTATAGACGAATGTGACTTAAATGAAAATATCTATTCACTTATTTTCCTTATAATAGTAACTATCTCTATGTTCATTTACAATTCTGGAAATATCATAATTAAGATATGAACTTTGGCAAAATTGCTTTATTTGACCAATTTTAAGAATTTAACAGTTGAAAGTCGCATTTTGGGTATTTTGGTTCGAAATTTCATAAACGAATGACTTGCATCAGAGCAACGCCTGCAATTGTTGAAGTTTGCTGGCCAAATAAGGGTTCTCTTAGTCAAACTTATTTGGTACTTCGTCCATTTTCTGGCATACATGATAATGAAGCCCATTCTTGGGTATGCAAATAAGCAGAACGTCACATTTGTAGTCAGAATAATCCACAAGCTTTTGTCAAAACAGCATTACATTCACAGAAAATTACTGTTTGGACTGTCGGAGTTATTGGTCTTACAAAACGATAATCGTATTGATTGAGATAATGTATGTATCCAAAATCATTTCATTGACAATAAAAATATATTTATTTCTTTCATTATGATTTAGACATTGTCATCAAATTTTCTATGCATTAAACCCCGTTTTATTGATATTAAAAAATATTTTTTTTTATTTTTTAAACTCTACAAAAACAACACCCTTTACATATATCATTTACACAATGTATACTCCAATTACTTATGTCAACTAATTAACTAACATGTCATTCTGTTTTCCATATAATTTCTATTCACAGGTAGCGACCATGATGTCCTGCCCCTTACCTATGCCATTACCGATACCAATACCTTCAATACATAAAACTGAATTCACACCGGTTCACATTGGAGTCAAGGTGAGTCTCTTGCAAAGCTCTCTCCATTAGCCCAATAATATTTCGAGCGCCAAACGGGCCACTCGCGTTGCCTCATTAAATAATAGTAAATTAAGCGCATAAATGCGATTATCATGCAAATCGCGACCTCCGTGGCCAAAAAGTCAACAAGTGGAGCAAAATGCTATATGTAAATGCTGCCGCTAAACTGGCACACAAGACTGAGCGCCACCAGCAGCAGTACCACATTCACCACAGGCAGGATGTGACAGCATGTCGAGTGGGGTTGCTTCATTGTTGACATTATTGCAGGCAGACACTCGCACTCGCACTTGCCCACTCACCCACATGTACTGAGATATTTCTATGTATATTTAAATATATATATGTACATATTCACCCAGATATACAACGGGAACAGAATATAATGCGCGCCACTAAATCAAATTGTTGCTTGCCAAGATGGTGACGGTTGCCGCTTCTCATCAACACACACACACACACACACATCCTCATTTGACTACAACTTTAATGCGCAGTGATCACATTTTAATGATACCGAAATGCAGTGCTCGTTGTTTTTGCTATTGTTGTTGCTGTTGTATCTGAGAAATAATGATGTCAAACCTGTGCATCAGGAGTTGGAGGCCAGAGGGGGTTAACATTGTTGTGGAATGCGTCACGTTTGATAAATGCTGCAACATATTTCTTGATTTTGTTTGTCCTTTCGCTTAAATGCCACACATAAATCTATTTTTGAATGAAAGCCACTTCGTGGCGAAACGTGGCGTATGCGCAATGTATATATATATATATATATATATATATATATCTACACGTATATTTGGCTGTTTCTCCATTTTATTGTTGTTGTCTGTCTGTTTTGCTTTTATCTGAAGGAAACGGCGCTTATTGTTTGCATAATGGACGCTCGTTAGCGCTGTATAACATATATATTTCAGTGTATGTGTGGGTGTGATTGTAAGGAATTGTGCAGATCCTTTAAAGCAATATTTTTGCAAACAATGCTTGAACCAATATAAATGCGTTTTTAATTTGTTTTATATAAAAATTATTTATTTTCCATCATGCCTAGAAGGCATATCAGCAGCTGCTACTGTTGCTGCTGCTTCTGCTGTTGCTGTTTAAATCGTTGTCAGCTTTTGTCAGCGGGTGCGTTTAATAAATGAATTCCTGGTATTTCCCCCTCCTGTGTTTGACCAGAAATGCATGGACATCGTTTCACTCTTATCCTTGGGGCACGGCAGCTGCGTTCTTGCTGCCACAAAGGCTGTGTGACATGGTAAATGAATTTTTTGCCAAAACCAAAACGAAAGCATGCCAGCAAAGTCACAATAGAGTCCAACCGCTCAGATCAAAGATAAATGTTTGTGTGTGTTTGTGTGTTGCTTGTATTTGTCGCAACCAAAGCCGGTTTTTGTCACTGGTCAATGTGCAATGCCCAGAGGTTGTTCTGTGCTAGTATTCACTGTTAAGGAGAATTTGTCCATAAATGCATTTGGTCAAGTTATGCATTTTCCTCTTTCGAGAACTCAATCAATAGTAAATGAAACTTAAAATGTTACTCGTTAAGAATCAATTGACTCACAATTGGTTTTGAAAACAAAGAGGAGCAATCGCTGTAGCATGTTCGACTGACATGTGTTTCGTATATATTCATTCAGGCAGATAGACTGCACAGTGCTATATGTAGTGGCGCCCCTAATCATCATAATAAAATATCACAAACGATTGAGGAATTAATCAGTTTAAGCTGTGGATCATGTTACTATAATCAAATACTATAATCAAATAATCAAAACTAAAGACTTGAAATTTAATATGTATATATTCTTTGAGGACTTACAGTAATGAATACAAATATTTGGCTTTTGAATTTTGAATAAATTCCTCGCTTCGACAAAATCAGCAAAAAACGTATTTCTCTTGGCAAATGCATACATGTAAATGTTTTTATCACTCTAAAAATTTGATAAAGAAGTCCAACTTGTTTAGCTCATACTGGAGCCGAAACTTAGTCTCTACGCAGTAAGCAGAGCGCGTCTCTATGCGTGTGTGTCCATATACATATGTGTTCTTTGTAATGTATCAATGATTCAAATATCATATTGCAGGTTAGTGGTGTATCATGCTCGACTAGGCACTCTCACTTTCATTGTTAATCTACTAATCTGAATGGGTTCTGTATCTTTCATAAATATTTGCACTATTAATTATCAATTAAGCCTTCACAACAAAGTTATTTACATGGATTTGGTGTAAGCGGATAAATGATGACAAAAATTAATAAATGTCCATCGTATCGGTTATCAACAAGGATCAAAGTTTAATTGCCAGCTCATAAATCTGTTGTCAATTTGTTATTTTTTCAACTTTATTTCTCGTATACAACGAAAGAGCTAAGGAATGACGCGCGACTAATTATCAGGCAACATTAACTGGCTGATAGGCATGCTCGGATCTGACTCCACTAATTAAGGCAAATCAGAGCACGCAAAGTAGCCGTGGCCAGTTACAGCAGCGGCTGTCTGAGCCTTGGTGATAACAGGCCGGTTACCAGTTCATAAAAAACGAAGGCAAAAATTATTTAATAAAGCGTCAGACACATCTAGAGGGGTCAAATTTAACGAGCCACCAGCCACGGCCGTTAAACCCAATTTCCCGCCCGAGGAATCAACGGAAACTTACACTTGACCGCACGGCATAAATCATCTAGCAGGGAATTAAACTGGGCGGCTTGGCAGGAGTAGCGTCTATCTGCTTGCCCCATAAAAAATGGCTGTAAAGGTGTGTCGGCTAAATAATATTTAAAACCAGAAATAAGACAATGAGATACACATATTATATAGACCTTTCAGTATCCGTGGGGGGAGTTTATGTGTTGGGCGAAATTTCATTATACTTGAAGGCTATAAAAATGGGTGGACGCTGTTTAATGAAATAAAATGGCGAGGTTAAACAAACTAGATTTATTTGCCTGGAGCTATCAATAAACCAATAATATTCTTCACCGAATTTTCTGTTACCAGTCAGTGAACACCAAAATGAATCAAGCCTGAGTAGTTGATATTGAATTATGCTGCGACTTGATTTCTATAGTGAAATGAATTGTATTCCTCTGAAGATCAATTGGTTGCATCTCCATATCAGAGAATGCTTGTTTATTATGAAGGTTGTGACGCTTTTATTTTCATAAGATAACTCGCAGGTCAAAAACTTTCATGTCTACAAGTTTGCCTTTAGCTTGGAATTTATTTAAATTGAATTGTGGCGAATATTGGGTATATATTGAGTTTACACCTGTAACTTTTACTTAAGTTGTCTGATTTTCGTACATCTTCAAGCCAATGGACGATTTTGCCGTTTAAGAACTTCCGCTTTCTTTTCGTTTTTCCTGCTCTGACAGCAGGTGATTGTACCTATATACCCACTTTCGCATGCACCCGGTCTGCGCGGCGACCCCTCACTTTAGCCATGACTGTCCAGGGCATAAACCTTAATTCCAACTGTGCAGCGCTTTGACCGGCCAATGCTTCCGGGTTACGAAGTGAAGCGCAGCGAAGTGCCGCTGGCAGACTCAGCTGCTCCTTTGCCTTATCCTTTTGTCTTCTTGGTTCATTCGCGTACATTTATTTTTCTTATGCTTGTTATTAATAATTTAAGTTGCGCTCTACTTTGGTATGAAGACGATGAGGTAAGAATGACGAGGATGCTACCGATGAGGACTGCGTCGCAGCATTGTTTGCCTGTCTGTCAGTCCGTCCGTCTGTCTGTCTGGCGCTTTGCTGCGCAGTTTATTCTTACAAAGGATTGCGTTTCAGTTACATTTCGGGGTGTTGTGTTAAGCGCTCATTTCCAGCTACCTTTAGATGTTGTTTTTGTTGATGCTGCTGCTGCTGGTGCTGGTGCTGCTGCCTCTGCCTGGCTGTACTTTGTTTTATTTTTTATTTCCACTCAAATTGTTTTATTTGCAGCAGAGCATCTCGCACAGAGCCCCGGACGACTGGCTTTATTATAGCGATTTTTCTTGAACGCATTTTTCGTATGTTGTCGTTTTTCTTAGCTGTCTCTTACCTTTCGTAATTTTTATGATTTTATTCTTTACCTCACCTCACGCATGCCATTCACCAAAAGAGAAAATGCGACTGTGGCTGCTTTGTTTGCTTTTTGGTTTTTATTATTGTAATTCATATAAAAAAGCAGAGCGTAGTAGTTGCTATTTGCCCGGGCACTTTTGTGTGAGCTGAGTTAGTGTGTGTGCGTGTGCGTCATAATAAAAACCTTTTTCAGAAATTAAAAAAGAAAGGAGATGCGAACCAAATTGCCCAAAATCCGTGCCATACAGACTTCTGCAAATAAAAATAAATAAAATCACCGGCTGGCTGGTTGGCTCACTGGCTGGCTGTTATTGCGTATGCGCCACGTAATCCGCAAGAAAACCAAAAACATACAAAAATTGCTGTACATGGGTGCAATTCGATTTGATTTTTGCCTCGTTGTGGCTTTTGTTATTTCGCCAGCCTTGGCAAGCGTTAAAAATTATAGTTATTTAGTATGATTGTTTTGGGGTAATTGGGGCCCAAGAATTTGTGGCACATTAGACATGCACACGCCATCCTTTAAAATGGGGATTCTTGTTTCGTTTCTCGGCGCGTCGCCATTTTGCGGCAGCCCATTACGCAACAGTAAATGTAACGGTAACAACAAAAGGCTAACGGCTAATTATTCCCCCGTTAACGGGCGCAGGCACACAAAACAATCGTTAAACAAAAATATTATAGCATGCCTCTCATTTCTGTGCGTGTCCAAACTAATGCGGCACGCAGCCAAAAGCAACCAGCAGCCAGCATATTATGTCCGAGACACATGCGTGGGGCATAACTAGCTAGTAAGACAACCTAAGTGGCAGTAGTAGCAGCACCAGCGGCAGCATGAGGATGCGTGTCTTGAAAGACATCAGAAGGAACAAGAGGATTAGTTAACAAGCAGCCCCTGTCCTT